TAGTCATAGATCGTTTTATTCTCATTTCCTCATAGGATATCTTGAAAATTCAATATCCTAGGAATGAAGGCACGAGGGAATGAACCCTTTTCAGGTCTTTCATATCTCATCGAGGTCTACTTATGGCCAAAAGATGAAGTCTAAACGGCTTGAACACTTGGGGATCTTCCCTCGTAAGAATTTTTTGTTTCAGGAAAATGCAATGATACATGTCTGACATCTTGAAATCCATGCTACGTCACAACGCTGTATATTCTCATTCAGCAAATTTTGATGTCTTCTGTCAAAGCAACATTGTTTATAGTGATAATAACCCCAGTGGTCATTGCCTAGGTAGGATGGAGTAGAATTTCGAATTTTGCATCAAGTCCAAAGTATTATTGGTTTATTCAAGGAGATTCTAAGGGAGAACAAGAAAACTGGAAATAAAACATGTTACGTGAGACAGTACTAACTTAATAGGTCAACGTTTTAAATCAAAGTAATGGTAATATTTCCGTATTAGACAATTCACGACTATAAAATCGTACTTCATCCATCTGACCAGTATACGGCTGTATTGTAATTCCTGCAGTTACACAAATGGCTCCTGCTCTTGAATTACCAAGCGTAAAATAGAATGGACTGTTATTTGTATTATATGATGACATGCTGTTACTTGCGGCTAGCGTACCATTAACATACAACTGGAGCCCATGTGATGGAGAAAATGTTTGAGCAATATGTGTCCATTGATTTAATTGTAATATCGGTCCTGTGACACTGACAACATTACCGTTATATAACTGAACGACGATAGATCCAGTATTACTTAGTCCCATATACGGATAACAAAATCCGGTTCCAGAAGAAAACGGGGAAGCATGTATAATGGTCCCACCTGTGATATCAGATGGTCTTAACCACAATAAGATTGAAAATGGTTGGCTTCCCTGCCCAAAGGCAACTAAATTTGATATTTGAAAATACGATGTTGAAATATTAAACCAAAGACTATGATCATGTATGCCATTTGCACTCGTAGCTATAACGTCAGAGCCTGTTCCATCCATATAATTTGGGCCACTGTCTTGTTGAAAATCCACGTAGCCGTCGCAGCCAAATGTGTAATAGGCAATTAACGTTGCATCTTCGAGTATTTCCTGCGGTGTTTTTAAACCACTACTTATTAAAATCTGTCCGATTTTACCATCAAAATACGTTTCTAACTGATTTTCATCTTGTGTTGTACCAATGGTTATATTCCCACCAGAGCTACTGGGAGTAATAGTCGTTGTTGCTCCTTGCCCAACAAGTCCACCATTCAAATAAAGTAATTGCTAACTATTATAAACAATATGATACCATTGATTTGTTGACAAAGTTGTATTGCCGGTTACGTATTCACCAGCACCCCACGACATGAAAAGGCTGCCATTTAAAATGCCAATGTACATACAGTTTTTTACGTCTGCACACTGACCGATTATACTCATATATCCAGCTGTATTAACACTGTTTAAATTAATCCATGCTTCAACTGTAAAGGCTGATGTAAAAACTTCAATTGATTGTGCAATTGCGTATTGTTTATTTGCTTTTGTCAATAACAAAGCTATGGGAAAACTGTAACCAGATGAATAAACTGGATTATTTACCGTTTGGGCATTGTATAACGTATTAAACATACTTAATGTATCGCCACTGAGCGACCAATAGACCACATTTGCTGCTGCTGCTGCTGCTGCTGTAGAACAAATTACTCTTGGAATTGTGCTTATTACCATACCTTTGAATAACATACCAAAATAACGCTCATCACGCTTGAAACTACATCTAGTTTTCTCTGCATTTTTTAAGTATTAGACTTTCAAACTAATCGATATGCAGGAACAAATTGTGTCTGATGATTTTGCACGAGCTCAAATAGAAAAACGGAAAGCCCGAGGTCAGCCATATGTTTTTTAAGATTGAGAATATCTTCCTTTTAATACTGGTTCGTTTATGTTAAACACTTCCTGTGGATCGCGCATTATCTGCCTCTAGCCCTGCTTGCCCCACCACGTATATTACGCTGACGAATTGCCACTACGGGTGGTACCTTCTCGTATCGTTGCTGTAACGGGTAACGGAATAGCGTTACTTTTCAGAGTAAAGTAACGGAAACGTGCCTCCCCTACTTGCCATGGTAGGGTAAAAAGAAGCTGACATATCCAGCAGATGCCAACCGTAGCATAATATTAGTACTTAAATAGCAGTTTAGCTTGAAAATGCTTTCCTAGCACTCACTCACATATGCTTTAAAAATTTTATATCAGAAAAGGCAGTTTTTGTTTGGAGGGGTTACCTCGACGACTCTTCCCGCTAGCTGATGGCACAAGCCACTTGACAGATAAGCTAACTTCAGAAAAATTCTTCATCCAACTACATTTCTATTTCTTTCAAATCTCAAGTAAGAGTCTTCATTCGAAATATATTTACCCGGATCAGCTTCAATAAAATTTAACTGTATTTGATCCAAGCTATTACCACTACGACCATTAAGATAACTAAATACGCAAGTATCGCCTCCACCTTCTGACCACGACGAGCCGTCGCTTCTGCCAAGGAGTCGTGTTCGTCGACCTTTGTTTGTATGAAATTGTAGTGCCATCAACAACTGTCCAGCAATGCCATTCACTTTAATAATTCTTTCGTCTTTGTCTAAGATCAATGTTTCCGAATCCTGAGCAGACGAATAACCACCTCTGACACTCAATTGTATTGCACTACTCTGATCCGCAGTTGTATAGGTCATTTGTATTTCTGACACACCGTCAGAGTCTGCAGTAAAATAAATTCTTGATGGATAAAGAGGACAATTGTCATTAATATCAGATGAATCATTGAACGGGCCTCCTCCACTTCCCCCATATACCAAACCAGATGATACATTTAGTATAGGACATAATACAGCTACAACAAATATGAAGGATTCTTACTACTATTGAGTCGACAACGACCACAACTAGGGATGTCACAAGCCAAAACATTCGGGCTTGCCAAACCTAAGCTTGAGCCAAACCTTGCTTTTTCGCGTAGCCTGAAATAATAAGAGAAACGTCGATAGGCAAACTTCTAACTCTGCAAGAGTA